TCTATAAAATCATTTTCACTTTGGACCAGCCCATATTTGGAAACCACTGACTTCAAGGATAAAACAAATACTCTTCTCAAAGGTATATGTCCTTTCTGTCAGTTCTTGTCTGTCTGCATTTTCTCATTTACAGGAAATACTCCAATAAATACTTTTCTTACCTAACTAGAACATAATCTATTTCTCCTTTCTTATAGGCCCCGTCACATTCTTGTTTTCTGACTAGCTAGCTCCTATTCTTCCTTCTAGCATTAGCTAGAACTCCCCACCTCCTCAATGATTCCTTCTCTAATCCAGGGAACCCTCCCTGAAGCCTCCCTACATTTTCTACATTGTTCCATGTAGCAAACACCACATTACATTGGAATTTTTCAACGACTTCCCTGAAGACTTAGAAATGCCTAAGACATCATGGAAGCTGTATTTTTAGTGTAAAATACACTTGTTACTGAATTCTTTTATAAATAAAGTGACTTGTTCATGGTCATATGATAGTCAACATAACCAGAGTTTAATTAAAACTAGCCATGTCAACACTAATGCAAATTTATGAAAGAGCTCTATAATTTAAAAAATGGGAACATGAGGCAAGATGAACCAACCATACATGAACCATGTGTTAAAGACACATCAATCACATTTAAATGAGTTATGCTATTCACTAACAGTATTTAATTCAATTGGGTTCTAAAGGATAACCATTTGCATATGCAAGTTTTAATAAAGAATAGTGATCTATGGCAACTTTCCAATAAGGAAACTAAAACCAACATTTAAAATTCATTGTAACTTATTAAATAAAATTTACTAGATACATACCTGAAAGACTGTGAACCCAAGGTAATATTCAATAAGAATGCAACCTATACTCCAAACATCACAAGGCTGAGACCAACCTAAAGCTATAAAACATAAGAATGTTATTATGCAATAATTTTTAATCTTCTATAAGTCCTTCCCTATATGGGTGAACTCTTTTGAATAGTCTATTTGGGAAAATATGATTACAAATTCAGGGTTTACACTTTTAAGTTTTGTATCAAACATTATCCAGTATGATCTCATTGGGAGGGGACATTTTATGTAAAATAAAAGGGGACTAACACATTTTCCAAATATAACTACCAATTCTATATTCTTTGAACTGCTTACACAGGGGAGAACTATACACTATATACTGAGTTCACGGATGGCTCAGGAATTTTTACCTTTTATTAGTGCAAATATAGGTTTATAATTATCCTCAGAGAATATAATTACTTATCCCCTTATCTATTATCATAAGTTTGATACATGAGTTTACATCTTCTATTAAAAGAAATATTTGACATAAATTATGTAAAAATTCTAATAGGAATTAAAAGCAGTTTCACCTATAAGCAGAAATACTTAAGTTCACACAAAGGAGAAATACATGTATTTCAGGCTGGCTGTACATGATACTTTCTCCTTTTTTCCAATGGCAATACTATTCTGGAAAGAATAAAACACCTATCCTTCTTAGACCTAGACTCAACTGGAAAGGAGAATAATAAACCATACAGGATATTTTAATCCTTTAAAGCCCAAACATTTAGTAGAAGAATGCATAAATAAAGCTACTTTAAAAAACATTTCAATTATGACACTCAAGTTAAAGACACAGGAAGAAAAAAACAATATATTCAAAGGCCTTGAGGAATATGATTTAGTCATTTCTGTTCATTCTCATAATGCTTATCGTTTGAATCTAATCTGACAATTTCCAGATCCTTTGCCTCAAGGGCAATGACTCCAATTGTAATTTATAGTTAACATATCCAGAATCTGTAAATGCTATAACCTGGACTGCAAATGAAAGTTTTTTTCTTTAACTACTCTTATCTACAATCTAGGTTTTTCCCAGATGATTGTAACTTTCTGCAGCATATCATCTCATTTTTGGGTGAGTCACCTCTAATATTCTGGAATTCTCGCATCACTCACTTTTCCCACCCTTTCCCGGCCTTACTTGTTTACTATCAACAACCAAAACATCATCCCTCTATTGTAGCACCAGATTACGTCTTCCTTTCAACCTGCACCCCAGCTTCCACCTGAGGAATGCTCTCCAGATTTCTTTGAGGCCAATGAATCCAATTCTAGACTTATATCAACTCTCCCTTACCTGCAACTTTCTCAATAGCAAGTACTCAACCCCATCTTTCACTTTAAAATTTTTCCTTTTTATTTTGAACTCTGCACTTTAACTCATTTTCTTTTCCAGCTTTTCTCCTATCAGTGGTCATCAAGAAACTAGAGAGTTTCTTTCTTCTCCTCTTGATCTTTATCTACCCTACTGGAGTCTGCCAGATAAAACCATTAGCATTTTTACCAGAACCATAATTTTGTGAAGGCATAAAAATGGGTACCTACAAAATTTCAAAATCACAATGCTATGATGAACTTAGCTAATGGAAATTGCTTTCTTATGTTAGTAAACTCATTAAAAAATAATCACCCTTTGGAATGCTTCACAAGTGGTATTACATTCATATTATTCAGAAAATAATATTTATAGTAATGTTCACACGTTTTTAATGAAAAAAAAATATTTTCTGTATATTGCTAAAGTTACCATTTAGCCACGAACCCCATCCACATAAATCAAAGCTATTAAGAACAAAACTCTCTTCTTTAATTACAGTATAATGGTGTCTACTGACCCAAAATGACCTCTGGAGCTCTGTAGTGCCGTGTGGACACCAAAGTACTGTGATGTTCATCATCATATGTTGCACTTCCAAAGTCAACAACTTTAATATCTGTGTTTTTTAGTGTGCGTTCATCACGTTTCTACAAAATTGAGAAAACATAAAACTAATAAAGACATTTTAAAACACTACTCAAAATACTGAACAAAAATAATGTCTTTTTTTCTGCTGGGTGCTGAGGATCAAGCTTAAAGCCTAGAAGGAACTATGCTAATAATGTTCTACCACTGAACTACATTCCTACATTCCGAGACCTACTTTTTTTGCGATTAAAAATTGAACATAATGGGCTCAAAAGTAAAATTCCTCATGCAAAGATCACCAAACTAAGCTAAATTTTAAAGATAATAACTTAAAGCAAGTCTTTTACTTACCATTTTAGAATTATATTTGACTACATAGTCAGACTTCACAAATAAAATATTTTCAGGTTTCAGATCTGTATGTGTTAATTTATTATGATGCAAAACTACAAAGAGAACAAAAAGACATTATTAGTTTTACCTAGAAATTGAAATGGTAAATGGGAGGGATGAAAGAGAATTAGCAGTAGATATGGTGATCAAGAAGGGTTTCATCTTTACCTGTGGTATATATGTATATTTTGATGACAATTTTTAATGTTTTTTATGTAATAAAAATCTTAAATTTTCTGATTTTAAAAATTTATCAAATATACTTACAATTTATTGATTGGCAGATCTGATACGCCATCTGCCTGATGTGATCAATCTGAAATGGCAGAAAGCTGTTTTCTTTAATGAAATCATAGGTACTAAGTCCCAGCAGTTCAAACACAATACAAACATGACCATGATGATCAAACCATTCTAGCATCTGGACACATCGGCTAAAATAAATCAAAATAGCAAGTTAGTTCACAGAATTGTGGTTATTTTACGTAATAAAATGGCCCAAAGTTCAATTTATACTTACAAGACACTATTAGGATCTGTACTATTTAAATGCTCCAATACTTGGATTTCTGAACGAGCTGCTTCACGGTAACGGCCTACATTTTTTACGATTTTCACTGCTACATGTAAGCCATCCCTTAAAAACAAAATTAAGAGGAATACACTAAATATATAGCAGTGGGCTGAAGCCATTTATCCTTTAAAGTATAATTTTAATTATTAATCCTCTATGCTATTTTTCTAAAACCATCTTTTAGATTACACCAAATTCTATACAACATCTTTTCCATACAATCAAACAAAATATACTTTATATGAAGCAATAATTCCCTTAATACTTATGAATTTAATGTTTGTTCCTAAAAGTTTACATTTACATAGATTTTATACAAAAAAAGTAAATAAATATATATAAGAACACAAACCAATAACAGAATATGCTGCAGTTGAAAACATTCACTCATTCACCAGGCTAACCTATTCTATGCCAGACAGTACACATGTTTTAGGGACCAAAAAAATTGGACTTGTTCCTACACGCCTCATACAGTCTAATGGAGTTCTTCAGAGAACAGGTGAAGCCCCAACAAAGACAAATTAAAAAAAAAAATCTTATTTATACAATAAAAAAGTATAGAGTCCTGAAAGATAGCTTTGATTATCAAATTGGGAGAGAAATGAAATATTTGGACAAAGACACCACCCTAGTCAGGAAGCCAAGACAATGTTTCTTAGCTTAGCATATTTATGATGCAAATATGCAGAAACAGCAAGAGCATAGGGTTCAGGGATTTACAAAAGGGCACTTGTATAGAGCCATGAATATTTTGACATCTTCAACTTCCTCTTGCCTCTGTTCTACACCCTATCTACTTGAAGATGAACTAGCACTCAAGCCTTTTTTACTAGGTGCCTCTACTTTACAAAAGAAAACAAAATCTCCTCCTCTTGTAAGATATCTTTGGGGTTAACAAACAAATGATTTCTACTGGCTGGATAGCAAATCTTTTTCCATGTTTGCTAGTTTCCAAATCATTGCTTTCATCAAGGTCTCAATAAAGTTGTAGAATGATAAGCCATTTAAATGTTTTTTGATAATATTCTCCTTAAGATGTTTAGCATGTATCTCCATATTTACCAAAAATTGTTATAAAACAGCTGTTGGGGCCGAGGATGTAGCTAGCTCAGTGGTAGAGCACTACTCGCCTAGCATGTACAAAGCCTGGGTAGTTAAATCACCAGCACCCTCAGAAAAGAAAGAGGGGGGGGAAACTGGCAAAACTCCTACTCCTATATATTTAATTATATGATCAATAAGCTTTTTTTCTCAGTGTTTATATCTATAAAAACAAAAAAAGAGAATGCCAAACAGTACTCATTTTTTAGAAGCCAACAATCCCAATACAAGACACGTTTCAATAAACTTTTTATGTCTAATGAATAAAAAAATATGTAATGTTAGTACTTGGATCAATTAGAAAACCTTGTTAAATAATCAAGAGAATCTCAGGAAATTATTTAAAAGGCCATTAATGAACAATTGGTGAAATCTGAAATCTGAATAAGATTAGCTGGCAAAATCTGAAAATATATGTATATGTAGATAATAAAGGAAATATTGTCAAATGTTCGTTCACTCTGGGGAATCTGGGTGAAGGACATATGGGAATTCACTGAACTATTTTACAACTGTTCTGTGAATCTACAAATATTTCAAAGTATAAAATTCAACTTATGTTCACATTTTTGTTGCAGAGAAGTAAGATGGGGTGATAATAAAAGATAATTTAGGATAATTTTCTTTATGGACAATTGAACAGAAATTATTTCAAGGATGAAAAATTTGTGTTGCTGAGGACTGAACCCAGGGTTTTGCACAAGTACTTGATTGCTGAGCTAGTCCCCCAGTCCTAAGTATGCATTCAAGAAAGTTTGTTCATGAATGATAGTACATTATCAAGTGGCTACAATATTAAGATTGCCTCCAATATATTTAAAGATTTATTTTTTAAATACTCATATTTAAAATAAGCTGAAAATTACATCCTTTCCAACTATCATAATTTATGACAAAAAACTTTAGATGTCAATTTAAAATATGCAGTTCTACTAAATGTGCTTTAAAAGATTTAGTTACAAAGACATAGGCAAACCACAGAATAGAGGTACTGAAGGAATATGGTAAAATGAGGCAGAGTGGGTCATCAAATCACAAACGGGTAGGTAGGCTTCATTTAAAAAATTGGACTTTATTCTGTAGGTCTCAAGTAGGATAATTTCTTTGCAGACTAGGAAGTCAACTCTATTATGGAAATTTAGATATATTTTTGTCTCTGCAATCCAAAAGTAGCTGAATCTCTCCTAATAGAGGACCAACAATCTAAGCTCTGGGAAACTCCTTCACTTGAACACACACTTTAACTTCAATAAACTCAATCTGATAGAATTTGTCAGCATTCTTCATAAAATCTACGTACCTGGTAAATAAACTATATCTAAGTTAAAGAAATGTTGAATATCAGAAAAACTTGTAGCTACTACTACTTTAAAAACATACTTCATTTAAATTATGAGTGATTTCCCATCAAAAATATCAGAATGTTCATAGATATAAAAATAAACTTACATGCCATGGTCAATGCATTCTACAACTTTGCCAAAGGCCCCTTCACCCAAAGTGTCCACGATTTCATCTAAAGTGAGGGAGAGAAAAAGAAGTATAAGTAACTAAGTATAAATTAACTAGTTATTCAAACAATGAATGCTTAAGTGTGGAATATTTTCAAATGATCTCTAACAAGCATAACTAATGTTTCAGCACTCAAATTATTTTATTTTCATCTGCTACAAAAACAATTAGATAGAGCTATCTTTCTTGCTCTAATCTCAAATTCCACTGATTATTTTGGAACTTTAGAGTAGAAATATTTAAATTCTACAGAAAAGAAGAAATACAAAAGAACAAACAAACCCACAAAAAACAAAACAAAAAAGCAATGAAGAGTTCTTTAGCCCCCCGCTGACAAACTATTATTAAAAAGATTATTCTGTCTGCAAAGTTTAAAAAGTGTTGAAAAATATTCTATACATCTTGCTCTTAGAACGTCTCCACTTTGACAGATCAGGTGACCCTCCTCATCATCCTCTATACTCCTGGATCTTTTCCTTCGGTGGCTCTTCTGGAACGGCAAGTGGGCAGCACCAAGATCGTCCAGCCAATCAATATATCAGAGTGAATTCAGGGCAGAATACGCAATTCATTCAGCGGGGAGATATTCAGGCATTCAGATAAGCACCAGGCCACGAACAGTTGGCAGGAGCAATTTCAAATTCAGTCCCCAGAAATTCACAGGGCACAGTTTATGTTACAGAAGAAAAACATGGCAAGGAACAGATTTTCAGATAAGATACTTAAAGTGGCAATAGAAAAACAACACAATTGTCTCTTTAAAATACTGATTTAATTGAAGTCTGAAATTTAAAGAATGCAATGTCATGATTTACTAATCTCTTGCTATAACTAGCATATGCTGTGAGTTGAGATGTCTAGTTTGTCAGAAAAATGTTTTAAAATGTCAAGATTGTTGTAACTGTCTTATTTAGCAATATTCTGAAATATACATGATTAAAATCAAAGGGGAAAACAAAGGCTAGTTAATTTCAATGTTCAATCCAATAACAGCTAATTCTATCAAAGAAAGGTTGGGGGAGAAAAACTGCAATTCAGTTTACAGATTAAAACAATGAAGATGTCCATTTAAAAAAAAATCTGGCTTTTTAAAAATATGTTTCCCATTCAGCACCCATATTCACAATTTCAATAGATGTAGTTAGACAATGATGCATAATGTATTAAGGATTATGCTATACACAGGTTAACAACATTTAAGTATCAGTGCAACTTTCCATTTTGTTTTTAAATATTAGGAAAGAGGTTTCTTTCAAAGTAAAATAATATTTCAATTGAAAGAACAAATGGGTGCATTTATTTTCTTAAGATTATACAAACACAAAAATGAAATAATTTCTATAATTAAAATCAACAAACTCATGATCTGGTCTGTAGAATGAGTAAACGTGGGGAAGTGAGGGCTAGCTAATAAATATACAGATCAGCTATGAGAATGTGGACGTTTCCTTTTAGGATTCAAGTAATATAATAATTATATCCAAATAGCATTACATTAATATAAAGAAACTTTTAGAAACTTATCAGCTCCTTAAGAGCTTTTACACACAATTAAGAATCCACTCAAAATAAAAACAAAATCAATCATACCGAACGTGACTGATGACTTGAACAGTGTCTATTACGCTTCCTTTTAGGACTGCTTCTCCTGCTTCGGACTGAGGATTTACTGCAGTGGATTCGATAAGCGCTTTCAATGTCTCTGTGATAATGTCTAGGAATATATCCTTCACAGTAGTCATTTCTGTATTCATCAACGTATCTCCGGTCCCGATAATCTCTCTCATTCAAGGACCTTGCTTCTAAATAATGACTGCAAACACATTAAAGGATTTCAAATCATTCTCTTCATTTTGGAATAAATGATCAAATAAAACACACAAGAATTCCTGATTTAAATAATGAAAGAAAAAAAATTCAGAAGTTAAAATTTATATAATACTTATCTCACAAACTTAAGAAATAACTTTAACCAACAAGCAAATGGGTCCATGTTTCTCCATTATAAAAATTGCTGTCAAGCACTTCATAGCAAGGAACAACAACAACAAAAGCTTAAGTCAAATTATGTTTAGTGTTTACCTAAGTGCTCCTTTACCTTCTGGACAAAATTAAAATCAAAAATTCACAAACTACTCTCCTGAAACTCGTCAGTCTTATATGCATCTGAAACTAAGCTTCCTTTTCTCTCTCAGTCACACACAATCAGAGGCAGGCAAAATAGGATTCCTTTCTCTTTTAATGTTAAGTGCATTTTAGACATCCTAGCAGAAAATTCTTCCATGAAAGGTGTATTAGAGATATAAGGAGCCCTGAATGTATTCTAGCCCTCTCATTTTAATGATGACTAAATTAAAAATCCCTAAATAATATGCACATTAGTGATAAAAACTGAGACATTTTCAAACTACTTATTTTACATCACTTATTCTGTCTTTTCTTTGCATTTCTAGCCTTGTTATTCCTGCTTGAGAAACAGACAACTTTCAGTACTGCCTACTCTGCTGAAGACATCTGCAAGATATGTTCCACAAGTGAGAAAGGGATCCTGTGATTGCTTGCCTAGGATTACATAAGTCCCTCCACCCTACTTCCCTTTGCATTTCTAACTTCCCATCATTCCTGCTTGAGAAACACACAAGAAACACATGATTGAAAACATCATTATCTAGTGCCACAGTACTTGGATCTACAGATCCCTTTGAGAATATGATGAAATTTGTGGACCCTCTTCCCTAAGAAACACACAAATACATGAACAAAACTTGGCAAATAGTTTCATAGAGGTCATGGACCTCAGGAAGTCAATGGATCCCAGTTAAGTAGCCTTGATCTGATGGAAAGAAAAGGACATAGAGATTCAATTGGCCCAGTTTCCCGTCCCCCTCTCTACCTGGGATGAGTGTCCTCTTCAACAGAGTGCGAAGCTTCAAGAGGGATGCACATGGAGCACTGAGGGAGAGAGGGGACACCTGCCCAGTCAGACAAATTAGCTAAAATAATCCTGACAAGCAATGGAGTGACAGATGTTGCCTAAAATGCCCTCACCAACCCCTTTAGGTTCCCCAGAATATGCTGTCATTTTTTTTCCCCAGAGTTCTGGTTTAGGCAGAAATAAAGGAGAGAAACACCCTTAAAACCACTACCCCAAAACAAGGCTGGCATCTAGTACTACCCAATTCAGACGGAAGATGTAGGACCCATTCTTTTTCCCTAGAGTCAGTCTAAGTTCTAGCCACTGGAGAAACAACTCAGGATTTTAGGGAAAGATTGTGGGGTCTAGGTTAGCTGTTTTGAAAGTGTCAGGGAGAACTCTCCACAACAAGCTAGGAAGTACACACTCATTAAGCATATCCTATCTAGTTCTGTAAGGCATCCTTCCCACAAAAATCCCAAAATCTTGCTATCAGAAAAAACACAAACAATCATTAGTTGGAATACTACATAAAATCAGAGCTGCTGATAATCCAAAAGCAATATATAGAAAAACAAAACGGCATGATGCAATACCATGAGGAAAAACTAAAAAGACTGGACCCTTTTCAATCTATAATGACCAAGGCTGAGAGATTATATAAACCAAAACTACAGAATCATACAGGCTTATGGACACGTTAAACAAAATGAACAGACTGATTAAATTTTTACAAATATTCACTGAATGCCCAGTGAATATTTCACTGTAGCCTTTCAAAATAGTCAAAACTAATGAGGATAGGGGCATTCATTTTTATTTCCACACAGGTCCTGTGGGAAATAAAAAAATTATATATATTATATAAGGCAAAGTCCCTGCCAACAAATAATGAACAATTTGAGACCATCACATAAAAATAAAACAAAACCCAACAATGAAGGAAATACTGAAAGGTTGGATGTGAGTGCTTAAGAGTCAGAGAAAGGAAAAAACTCATATCTGCTTAAAATGGTCAGGGAAGAATTCATGAAAAAGATGGGAATAGAGTTTCACCGAAAAGGGAAGCCAGGATATGGACAAAGGGGAAAGTAGAAGAAATTCCAAGGGAGAAAAATGGTATTATCATACTTTACATTTAAAGTACTTTTAGCCACAATGGCTTAGAGATGGATTTGTCTATGTATTACTCAGGTAATAATAGTAAGTAGACAATTCCAGCAAGAGCAATGTTCACCCTGAGAAATATAGAAATTCTCTGGCTGAAAATATATCATTAAAAGCTCAGGCTAAGGAGTGTATCTCAAATAGTTTGTCTATTAAATAACAACTTAGAATAAGGAGTTCTTACTAAAAATGAGATTCCTGGGCTTCAGGGTCATACTTATTGAATCAAATCTGCATTTGAAACACACCTCCAAGGTGATTCCTATTCACACTAAACTGGCTTAAGACCTGATACCTTGTTATAGAAAGACATTTAAGGATATAAAAGTGGTATTTATAGTCACATCATCTTCTCAATAAGTGTGCAGAATGGATTAAGCCTGTAGGAAGAGAGACCAACTCACAGGCTACTGCTAAAAGATGAATCACAAAGGAAAGACACTTTGCAATATATGTGACAAAGGATTAAAATAATGGGAACATAAAGAAGCATTTTTTAGAAGTACAATTTGGTATGAACCTTCTAAGAAAAGGAAAATATTTAAAATCATCTTTTAAGAGTTCATACCCTTTAGCCTCTTGGAATCTATATTCAAGAAATAATCAGAGGCAAAGATTTGTGAAACCTTTTTAAACAAATAATAATTTACATCTAAATAGTGGGCCACTATAACATCCTACTAAGGTTACCTTCTTCACATTTTTCTGGATTTAAATTTTTTTCTATAGTTTTATAAAAACTACTCATAAAGTTTTTAACCTTCAAAAAGAATTTTCTGGATTATGGTCAACAATTACCACCACATATGTCTGAGGCTAATGTCAAAGAAGAAAGTACTGGTCTGGTGGTTAATTAGATTGACTGGGTATTATGTTTATGTAGTTAACTATAAACATGAATCAATCAAATCACTTCCTTTGTACATACATAATATATCATAACTTATGAATAATCATTACCATGATGTTAACCTTATTTTGTATACTTATCAATATAATGGGATAGATATGATTTTTATATTATACTATACATCAATTTGCTCTGGTCACTGAAATCCTATATTCAACCTCCCTCCACATTCCCTTATGTAACAGTGTTTAAAAAGCATGATTAGTCTACACTGACTACAAATAAGCTCAATGTTTAGCAGAACAAGTCTATTTAGCATGGAGGAGGAAAAAAATTACATACTGTTTTTTAAAGTAACCCCAGCTGGCTAATTTAGAAAGCAATCTGGTAAACAGTCCCAATGGAACATCTGCACAAACAAGGAGAAAACATAAAACCAACACAAAACAAATGAGAAAAGGAAATTAATGGAAGAGAGTGTGCAAGAAACTCTATTCATCTAGCCTTTAATATTTAGAACTTTAGGATTCCTTTAATTCTATATAAATATATTACCTCCAAATTTTACACCAGTAAAAATACAAAAAAAAAAAAAAAAACAACTCAACATTATTGTAAATTTTTGAGAACCTTTCCTAAATTACTAGCTACTGCCTGTATATAAATAAAACAGTTCTTAGAATATAAGTAAACTAAAATACCAAACATATTCATTGGCCTTAATTCTGTAAATATAACCTGTAGAATATAAGCGACTAATCCCCAATGCACTTTAACTTATCCACATGTTACTTTTCTTATCTGGATTAAACTCTGTCCCACCCCTTCCATCACCTCACTTTTGAAACACTTAATGAGCACCCTAATTTATGTACCACCCTCCTACACACAGATTAAAAGCACTCAATGGACATTCTTTCATTACCTTTACTGAACTTTATGTGTGTCTCAACTCCCCAACTATGTTACTGGCAGCTAGAAATCAACATGCTACTGACTATATTTTTCTGCCTGCTTGCTTACTTTTTCCTGTGGTAGTGGGGATCAAACTAACTCACACATGCTAGGCGAGTCCTCTACCAATGATCTACATCCCCATCCCCTGAATATATTTCTTATTCACTTGCAGATCAACTGTCTCAATACCCCCAGACAGACACAGATATATGATAGAAACTGTTTTATTGCAGCTACAGCCTTTGCAACTACAGAAGCCAGCCTATAACAGTAATGGATAAGAGTTTTTTGAATGAATAAATGTTGACTGCATTCTACAATCACTTGATACAAGCTATATAAACAAATTAGAAATCATTAAAACTATTAGGACTAAAATGTTACTAAGTAGAGAGTAATTTACCAATCAGATTCTTTAAACTGGTGATGCGGTTTACAATGCCTGTTCTCTTGTGTACTACTGTGAGATCTCCTCTTCCGTTTGTGACTTCCACTGTAGCTTTCATGACCCCAGCTTTCTCTGCTATCCCAATCAGGGCAGTGTGTTCGTTTGGAATGTCGCATCTGTTAACCAAAAAAAGAAAAAGTGAGTTGTGGAGGTTATAGAGAGCTGTGGAGACGGATTTAATAAATGAAACATTATTAATAGAAACATTATACATTAATATTATTTAAATATGGCATGTAGGGTCATAAAGGCTGTAGAATATTTTTAGGTATGGTTCCCAAGGCATACAGTACTCTACCACTGGTATATCTGACAACTACTGAGTGGCATAGATCTAGTACTAAATAATGGATAACACGGTGAGACCTTTAATACACCGTCTTTCAATTCTTCTGAATATAACCAGGACAAATTCTCAGCTTGGTTCTTGTCTTCAAACAAAAAAGAATGAAAGAAAAAAATTTGTGGGCAGAGGGGAGGCAGTAATAGGAACTGAACATGGGGGCACTCTTACCACTGAGCTACATTCCTAGTCTTTTTTTCTTGTTTTTATTTTGAGACAGGGTCTAAGTTGCCCAGACTGCCTTGAACTTGGGATCCTCCTGCTTCAGCCTCTGGAGTAGCTGCTATCATAGGCATGTACCACCCTATCTGGCAAAAAATTTTAATCTTCAAATTTTTTAAAGGTTCAGGCTTAAGGCTTCAGTAGACAACAGTATTTAGCTTGAAATCAATGATTTTTTTGTCTTAATTTATTGCCACTGTCCTTTATGCTAATTTTCTAATTAGAAATAAATTTCTTTAAAAAATGTTAACATTAAAACATGAGCTGATTTAACATTAAATAAAAACACAAGTGTCATGCAGCTTGGTTAACGTATAATACAAATAATCAACGTAAGAAACGGATATTAAATATGGGAAGTAACTTCAATTTGAAGGTAAAGAGCTTTTCATTAATTAAGCTTTTTTCTCAAACTTCTTTTTCTAAATCTTAGAATGACTCCAAGGTTTGAAAATAACAAAGGAGGGGCTGGGGTGTAGGTCAGTGTTTGCCTAGCATTATCAAAGCCCTAGGTTTGATCCCCAGCACCCCTTGCACACACACAGAAAGAGAAAATAGAAGTGAAAGAACACAATATTCAACAGAGAAACTGAAAAACCAAAAGGTGATTATTATAAATCCATTTTCTCTAGTAAGAAGTTTATTTGCAAATCATTTGTAGTTTTTCTTAAAATAAAAATCTATTTGTTATAAATCTGGAGTAATCCTGAAAAAGAAACCAACCTAATGGGGATACACAATGAGGCATAGTTACAGTAACATCAGACTATGAGGGTAACACAATTTCCAGACTCAATCTACACCTCCAATATATAGCAGGATTCTGAACCTATGCTCGATTTAACCAATCTGCCTCTTCCCAACTTAATTCTTTTTCAAAGTGTAAAATTTTTAACAGTAAGGTCCAAACTCTGTTAAACAGGGTGAGTTTAAATGGCAAAAAGAAATTCACAACTCAACAAAGGAGCTGGCAAAAATCTAAAATGGAGCAAATAATTTAGTTAACCTTATTCAGCTTGCCTAAATGAGAAATAAGCAAATAAATCAAGTAAAAATTTAAAATGTTTAAAATTGATTAATGGCTTTGAAATGAGGCAGCTTCAATTCTCCTGGGAGGTCTTCCCTGTTATGTATCATGCCTTCAGAGCCTGATGCTACCAAACATGTTTTTTTTTTGTTTTTTTTTTTTAAAAAAGCAATGCTGAGATCAACCCAGGGCCTCCAAATTGCTAGTTAAGTACTCTACCACCTTCAGCCCAAACATTAGGATATTTTAATTTGATGCTGATTCTAATTCTACGCCCATTCTAATTCTATACATCTTTTGGTTCATGAGGCTTCTTTTAAGCTTACTTAGCAGGAGGCTAACAAATTCCAGGCCAATCTCAGCAACTTAGTGAAGTACTAAGCAACTGAGCAAGACCCGCTTCAAAAATAAAAAAATGAAACAGGCTTGAGATATAGCTCACTGGTAAAATGCCCGTGGGTTCAATTCTCAGAACTAAACAAGCAAGCAAACAGAGAAGATATTGATCAAGTCAAATAAAAAATTCTAAAATTATTGTTGGCTTCTCACTGAAAATTAGTAAGTCTTCAGAATTATTAAAAAAAAAAAATTTAAAGCTGGCTCAGTGGCACAAGACTGTAATCCCAGAAGCTCCAGCAACTTAGTTAGATCCTGTCTCAAAATAAAAAATAAAAAAGGGCTCAGGATGTAGCTCAGTGATAAACTGCCTCTGGGTTACATCTCCAGTGCTAATAAATAAACTTTATTCTTTTCCCTAATTCTAGAAGAATTCTCCTAACTTGTTCCTTCAATTGCCAAAAATGTATTTTAACCACATTTACAACTCAGCTTGGCTAAACATTTTTCTCTCTCCCACCCTCATGCTAGTGATTGAATCCAGGACCTGGGCCTTTCCAAGCACCTCTAACCCTCAAGTTAGGACAGAAGACACTGAAGAGGCAGAAAAGAGGCATGCAGAACACCACAAAGTGGCCATGATTAAAGTCCACTTTGACATGGATTAAAACTTCAGGTTTAAAGGTCCCAAAGAACACCATTACAACAATTATTAGACCTTATCCACAGATACAAAATGAAGTACTGTGTTCACAAAGCAAAACGCACCAAAAACAAAGAAAGAAAATACTACCCTTTGAATAATGATCAACATACCTATAAATGACCAACATCCTAGGAATGATCAACATGTCCGGTTACATACACAAAGGAGAACTGAAAACAATCTCTTAGCTCATGTCCCTGTACTACTGATCTTACATGTATAAATATGTCTAGATAAGGTGGAACTAGCAATATCCTGTCTTCAACACCCACACTCCACCCTGCGTACATCTTTCTTTCACTCAATAAATTCAATCATGTGCCTCACTTTAGAACATAAATTCTTTTTTGAGAGCATACATCAAAGGACCCTCACAGCCAGAATTGAAGTTCACCTCCTTTTTGAGGGACCTCTTTGGATCCTCATCCTGGTGACCAACCCCCCTAAACATTCTTAAAATAATAGCAAGCAAAATTTCAGCTTCTGATGACTAAGGGTAATTATCATGACCATCCATTATGAAGGTTTTGCAACACATCTGTGTTTGCTTTAGTTTGTTTTTTCCCTACCTACCATGAGTCTGCTAAATCATCTCCTCTAAAAAACAAAGTTATCAAATTATCAAACTTATTAATATGTAATATTAAGATTGAGTTCCTTGGACGAACCCAATATTTTTCTAGTCAGGTTCACTATTTTAAATTTAATTCAGCTGTTGGTCCCAGCCCCGTAAACACCCACTTTGGTCCCCAGCAAATTTTAGAAATATTTTCTCAAGAGGCAAAGAGAAGCTTCTTGGACCTACCCCTTCTGTAAGGTTCGTTCACATATAGAGAAAAGCAAATCTACCTAAAATTACCATGCTGCCTCTAATTAGTTAAAAAAAGAAAAAAATCCTACGTGCTAGAATCATCAGGTGACTGAGGTTTTAATAAAAACACCCGACACAATGGATATATCTTCAGTATTAGAAATCTGATTCTCCATCACCTTTTTAAAAGATCTTAAAAAATACTTGACAATTTTATGGTATGAACACAGTTTAAACCTTAAAAAAGGGGGGGGGTTACAAGTTATGATTCGAGGGCATTTTCAAATAGGCAAAACCAAACAAACAAACAAACAAACAAAAACCCTGGAGGTGCCTGTTTGGAGAACCATCTACACAGGTGAATGGCCGGTAGTCTGGAGGTTGGCTACTTCACCAGAGATAACACGCTGCAGAACTACCAGAAAGGCTCATTCTCTCCACAATGGTATGCTCCACCGCGGGGGAGGGGGGGGCAGTATTGCACAAAGGACGAATCTCCCCACGTTTCAACCTCTTACCTGCACTAGGTGAATCCCACCACCTGGATTCACCCAATCCCCACCTACTCTCCGCCCCGGGCACCTGGCCAGAGGCTTTGGCGTACACACAGGGGCAAACGCTGGACTAGGGGAAAGCCCCCCAACGCTACAAACGGTGGAGGTCAGGCATCTGGGGGCGGGGGAATCGATCTCCGACAACACAAACACCAGCGACAGGCCCCTCGCAGGATCTCCGGACACGAACTCGCACTCGCGGACAGACCTAGCACTCGCGGCCCTGGCAGTGTCTATAATAGAGTCCGAGCTCTTCGGCCAACACAGTGGGGCTAATTTAGAGCCTCTGGCAGGACAGAAACGCCAGAGCACCTTCAGGTTTTTAAGGCCACCAACGGAGCGGCAACCCGCAGGAACCGCCAACTCAGTCCCCAGAGACCAAGGCCAGGAACCGGTCGTTTCTCGAACACCTGGCTCCGAGACCTAAAATAAGATTCGACAGTAACCTAGCCCAGCACATCACACCCGAAACCTCACCTCTGCGAAAGCAAAAGGCCCTTTGGCCGAAAAACGTCGCCAAACCGCCGTCGTTCCTCTCCAGCCGCTGCGACAAACACCCTACAAAATGGCGGCAGCGCCGTCACCCTACAACCCCCTAGGCGGCCTCTAGCACCACCTACACCGCGCGAACGCGACTGCGTGACAGAGCCAGGCGCGTTCCCGCAGCGCCCGTAAGGGGCGTGGCTTCTGTGTCGTAAGGAGCGCGGCCAGCACACTGCGGCTGCGCGGGCCGGCTCATTACATCACAGAAGCCCCGCCCTTTGGACCGGGCGTGTGCTCGGGTTGTTTTCCTCCTCGGAACCCTGGGAAAAGGCAAGGGGAAAACCCTTAAGCTCGTGGCGCCCGTCCGCTCTTCAAAGTGTAGTTTTCCTGGGTGCGGGATCTCACGGCGGAGCCAGCCGTGACCCGTTTCCTTCCTCTCACCCTCTAGTGGGACGCCCCGTCGCACTTTGCACTCTTCTCGCCCTACCCCAGCCTTCCCCAACCCACACAGCTAACGTGCCGCCCGGGGCGGGTGCTGAGGGCGGCTCGGTGAACCGGGTCGCTGTAGTCCAGCACACTTGGGAGCTTCCCGTCGAAAATGGATTCGGATAAACAGTGAAGTCGCAGAAAACAAGCTCAGGAGTTGCTTTTCAAGGCAAGTGCTCCTAAATCAGAACAAAACAAAAAAAATTGGAAAGTTAAGACTCCTGACAAGGTTCTTCCTGTTACTTCCTACCTCAGGGCAAATAAAGTAGCTGGAAGTTTTCCTAAGAAAGTTCTCTCTGTTATTTGTACCTGTGAGTTGATATTATTCTTCCAAGGCCGAGTACTGTCGCAAAGCTGCTGAATGTCCATTAGGGGCATGCTTACCTCAAATAAGGTATTTGGCTGTCCTAAGAATCCTAGGAAGCTTTGCAGTGTGAATGTGATGGGGTCAGAAGGCTTGAGGGCCGAAGTTCGTGCCCTGGAGAACACTTTCAAAGAACAGAGGCAAAGCATCCAGAAAAGGAATGATCAGATGGAGGAGAAGCAAGAATATGGTGTCAAAACAAGGGAAGTTTACAGCTTCCCTTGTTTTGACTTGGTATGGTTTGTCCCCCAAAGTTTGATGGGCGGGAAGCTAGGTCCCCAGTGTGGCAATGCTGAGGTGGTAGGACTTGAGGTGGTGGGTCCTTATGGAAGGTTATTGGTTATAAGGGTTCCATTCTGATATGGATCAATGCTTGTCTTGCAGGATGGTTGAGTCTCACAGGAGTTATCATCATAGCATATTTTTATATAGAGGAGCCAACACATACCTTGGCCCCTTCTGCATGAGGCTATTTCTCTTTACAAATATCCACCATGTTGTGACACAGACAAGGGGGCCCTCACCAGGATGCTGGCACACTGCTGTTTGGACCCTCCATCCACCAGATCATGAGACAAATAAATCATTTATAACGTACCCAGCCTCAGGTATTTTGTTTAAGCAACATGAAAACAACTTACCCAAGAGAAAAAATAACAGCCAAATACTGAGAAAGATTTAGGTGTGGTTAGTACTGAAAAGTGTCAAGGAAATTCCATATTCTGACTAGGATTCTCTTGATATAAGGAAAAGCCAGATATCATCATTAGAAGAATAGGATTAAATTATTGTGGGCCCAATAGCAGGTGGGAGTCCTAAACTATTGTACCTTAAATAGATAAAAGAAGGGTGCCTTTATATCCTTAGTGATCTAACATCATAGAAACTCGGCCTGCTACTCTAGATAAATAGGATGCATTTGGATAAATTTCATGAAGATTATACTCCACTTCAAAAAAATGAAGTAAAGGCTGGGTGTGGTGGCTTGGGAGGCTGAGGCAGGAGGATCAAGAGTTCAAAGTTGGGGCTGGGGATGTGGCTCAAGCGGTAGCGCGCTCGCCTGGCATGCGTGCGGCCTGGGTTCGATCCTCAGCACCACATACAAACAAAGATGTTGTGTCCGCCGAAAACTAAAAAATAAATATTAAAATTCTCTCTCTCTCTCTCTCTCTCTCTCTCTCTCTTTAAAAAAAAAAGAGTTCAAAGTCAGCCTCAGCAATAGCGAGGCACAAAGTAACTCAGTAAGACCCTGAATAAAACAAAATAGGGCTGGGGATGTGACAGTGGCCAAATGCCCCTGAGTTCAATCCAGGTGCCAAAAAAAAAAAAAAAATGAAGAAACAAAGTTGAAAAGACCCTTGGAAAATTTTAAGAGAAAACTCTTTATGCTATAGAATGAAATAATCACGTGGAATAGCTCTCATCATTGCAGCTACAAGTTTAGATCTTAGCTGCCCTAGGAAGGTCCATCTCCTTTAAGACATTGCCCCGACCACATCAATTTCCATCCAGTCCCCTACTCTAACTTCTTCAGTGATGGAAGAAGTCCTCAAATAGACCAAGATACACTGGTGTGCCTGGAGTCACTCAGGTATGCCAACCAGTTTGCCCAAAGAATGAAATTTTTACATTCTAGGACTGATTGAACATTGTTTCAAGGACATCTATCAAATGGAATACTGTTGAATAACATGTGGTCTTGCAAGGTAAGGTAAAGCTCAAATTGCAGCACATAAGGGTATAGATTCAAGCTGGAGCCAGAGAAAGTTCTTTTTGTTGGAGTATGAGCAGTCTTTGCTCATGAGCAGGGTCAGGATGCTGCTTAAACAGCAGCACAGGTTAAAAGGCAGCTATGTGGCCAAGCATAGCAGCACATGCCTGTAATCCCAGTGGTTTACGAGGCTGAGAGGGAGGATCTTGAGTTCAAAGCCAGCCTCAGCAACTTAGCAAGTCCTTAAACAACTCAGGGAGACCCTATCTCTAAATAGTTACAACAAAAGGGCTAGGGGTGTGTCTCAGGTCAAGTGCCCCTGGGTTTATCCCCAGTACAAACCAACCAACCAGCCATGTGGAAAAGCCACCTTCAGAAGTTTTTATAAATATCACACACTCTTGTTAACAACCAAGAGTGACAATAGTGGCTCTGCTTTATAATTGCCACTATTTTGTTTTGGAGTAATCTTGAGTATTTTAATTGTGCCACCCATAGGTGTATTCTTTAGAAGCCTTGAGTGATCAGAAGAAAGTTGAGATTTTCCTATGACTAGTGTCTATATAACATATAATATAGTAGTACCATAGTACTCTAGAATATTCTCTGTAGCCTTCACTAGAAGCAAGGATTTGGTTTATATTATCTTTGGTATCTTGGTGCTTAGAAGCCACTAAATATTGGTAGATTGTCTGCATAAGCAGCATTTGCCATTTTGCTTAGATGGTTTAAGTTCTGAAGTAATTAACTCAAGGGTAGACAATTACTCCTGGATCTTTGAACCAGGTATCATACTACTTATATGGCAACCCTTTCTATTAAGATAGTCATTTGACAAATAGACAACCTTGATCAGAAGACTTAATGAGATGATCTATTTCTATTTCCGAGAATCCACTACCAACACCATAAACACTGCCTAATCCAGTAGCTTCATCTCTACACAAGAACAAATATGTCCAAGAAAATATTAAATCATGTGTTAGAAACAACTATATAAAGAAAATCTTTGTTGTGAAGAGTAATCAAAGAATATTCTTATCATGTATTCTAGAACATATGTTCTACATGCTTAACTTCAGACTTTGAAAGTATTCACCTGTAAAAGCATAATACCAGACTGTTGTGTAAATTAATTTAACAAAAGTTGATCATTTTCAGAGTGATCTTTACAAAGGTGTAAATGAACCCTTAACACTTAAAATCTTTTATAAGATGCTTATTCTGATAATTGCCAATCTGTATTCAATTAGATTTTTTGGTTGCCTTAAGCTGTCAATTAAACATTCATTATATGCTAATCACTTTATAGATGTGATCTAATTTAATAATATAAACAACTTTATGAGGCAATCAATGGTTACTTGTCCTAGATCAAGTAACTATCAAGTGCTGGAACCAGGATTCAAACACACACCTTCCTTGCTCCAAAGCTGTTAAGCTTAACCTGTTGGACTGACTGTTTCAACTCATTCAACAAAGAATATAGCAACTTACTTTACTTAATCACTAGAGGAAAACATGTTGAGTCCATCTTTTGGCAAGACCAAAGAGTTTGTCTTAAAACACTGCTCAAGATGATGTATCATTGAAGGCTCATGATGAAACAATGAGTTTATTTCTAGCACATCAAGGTATTTAAAGGTTTCAGTGCCTTGGTCAATGTTCAACAGTGAGTCGAAGTGGGGTTCCCAAGCATCCCGCACTACCCAATATGGATAATATCCAAGGTTTCTTCAGTGTTCCCTGACACAGGTTGTAAGGATAGTCACATAGCATACTATCAAGCAAGATTCAGTTAAATTAAATCCTAGAAAGATCCCAAGATATAGGCTAGGGCCTATACACATGCAAGGCAAGCTCATTAAAGTGCTTGCCTTGCATGTGTGAGGCACTGGGTTCCATCCTCAGCACCATATAAATAAAGATATTGTGTGTCATTCTACAACTAAATAAATATTTTTTTAAAAATCCCAAGATTCACAACGCACTTTGCAATGTACATGTGAGATGGGAGCAGGAGGGTGCAGTAGGCTGGTCTTTCCTATTGCTGTGTCAGTTTCTGCTACACCAATGAAAAGGTCTCAGAGCCAGTTTGCAGTTGAATATCTTTTTGATATGCCTTCAGGATTCTTCTGATGTTGATCCTGGAAACTGCAGGAGATCAGCAGTTTGCCAAAAACAACTCACATATCATGTCCAAAAAGCCTAAGGAAAAGGAAATACAATGGCTCTGTAATGGATTCTTAGATTCTCAGTTGCTGTAGATTAGCCACATCATTCTAAAGTACAGGAAATCAGGAATTGAACAAAGAAAACTTCAGGTGTCAGAAACTTCCAGTATTTATTAAGTATGGATTCCCTGAGTTTTAAAGCAGTCCCTAAAGTATTTTATTAATTTCTTAATGTCTGTCACATATTACTGTACAGGTCACTATGTACCGACGCTGATTTGATTAAAGTCATATTTTAAAAATTTACCCAGTCCATGTATTTTCTCTGAAAAATCTACTCTGAATTTTTCTCAGCATTTAAAAATTAAAACTATCTGGGTAAACTATTTATCATTGTAGATCAGACATCAAACTAAAATTGAACTCT